CAAAAAAAAAAAAAAAAAAAAAAAAAAAAAAAAAAAAAAAAAAGGAGGGTTTAGTGTCGGGCTGGGAGGATGGGATGGAGTGGGGAGACTGAGGCGTCAAGTCCGATTCCTAAAAAGAGCGAACGGGAGCAGGCCTGGCTCCAAGATGAACCAGCACCCTCCCCACCCCCGGCAGCAACCCAGCCCCAGGAGGGCAGCCCCACCGGCAGAGCGGCTGAGCTGTGACCAGCGGGCAGAGCCACAGGGTCACAGCCGCCACTAGCATCAACATCAGCATCGAGCCTGGGCCTCTGCCGCCACTACTGTCCCTCAACCGCCGCAGGGAGTCGCTGCAGAATCCCAAAACGCGCAAGCTGGAGACTGCGCATGCGCACCAATGAGCCCCTGCGTGGGCTGGCGTGCACTGCAGCCCCACGCTCTGCCTGAACCCTGAGCATGCGCAGGCGAATCCCGGGAAGTCCGAATCCGCAACCCCCAACGAGCGCTCAGAGCCTGGGCATGCGCACACGGCCACCCGTGGCCACTCTAGTCTGAGCAAGTCTGATGAGCAAGCATGCCGTCTCCAGGGAATCCCAAATTCTTCAACCACTAGAAGCCCCAGAGCCTGAACATGGGCATGTCGTCTGCGCATGTAAGCGTGAGCACTGGCTGTTCACGAGTTCCTAAACGCTGCGTTTGCAGCATTACCAATTTTCTGTATGGGTGCTGGCGCGTGCCCACAACCTTCCACGTGGCCGTAAAGGCCCTTGAACGCCTAAGGTGGGAAACCGGAAGACGCAGAGGACCTGCTGACGGTCGAACTCCGCGCCCTTCCTCCGCGTAGGCCCCGCCCCCTAAAGTGGCTACTTCGGGCCACGCCCCCATTGAGTGCCGAGGCACGCGCTGGGCGTCACGTGCGGTCACGGCGAGCGGAAATGACGTGAGTTGTGGGCGCCGCCAGTATGGCCGGGTTATGGCGGCGGGCACAGGCTACGTGCGATTGTGGGGCGCTGCGCGGTGCTGGGCGCTGCGGCGGCCGTTGCTGGCTGCCGCCGGGGGGCGGGTCCCCACAGCAGCTGGAGCGTGGTTGCTCCGAGGCCGGCGGACTTGCGACGCCTCTCCTCCTTGGACCCTGTGGGGTCGAGGCCCGGCAATTGGGGGCCAGTGGCGGGGACTTTGGGAAGCGAACAGCCGCGGCGGAGGCGCTTTCTCGGGGGAAGACGACGCCTCCGAGGGCGGCGCGGAGGAAGGAGCCGGGGGTACGGGGGGCAGCACAGGCGGCGGGGAAGGCCCGGTCATTACGGCGCTCACGCCCATGACGATTCCCGATGTGTTCCCGCACCTGCCGCTCATCGCCATCACCCGCAATCCGGTGTTCCCGCGTTTCATCAAGATTATTGAGGTAATGGGAGTCCCCGCCTCGGCCTCAGGTTTCACACCTCTGCAAGCAGCGGGCTGAAGCGTGGGATCACTTTAGCTCCCTCGTGTTTTGTAGCTTTTTCAGACATCCGTTTCTCAGAGGCTGCAGTTAGAATCCTTGTCTGCTCACCACTAGCTTGGGGACCTTGAGCTAAAGTCCTCTTCGTTTCGGATCTCTTAGCATCCGTTAGATGAGAGGAGTTGAACCCAGTGAGCCTAGGATTGTCCACTTAGAGTCCCGGTCGTAGAAATCCGGGATCCGGAGACACCAGAGTAGTGTTACAGCGCCGTTCGTTTTCTGCTTACTTAGCACACAAGTTTTGTAACGCTTCCTCTCCCAAGGCGCTGTGCCGTCGGGTTACGAGCCCCAATGGGATCAGAATTCATTCTTAAATACCTCTTGACTGCTTATGTGCCAGGAACTGTTCAAGGTGCTGGGGATATGGTAGTGAACAAGGCAGACAAAAATTTCTGCCTTTGAAGCTGGGCGTGGT